GAGCTGTTTTGACAAGGAGACAAAAATGGCCATGAGCAAATGGCTTCATTCGTCATGGAGGATGCGCCCCTGAAGAGACAGCGTCAGAGCCGATAAGCAAAGGGAGGGAAGCAACTGACGCAGCGCAAGTGATGGAAAGCCTGGCTGTTTCTGGCAGTATCTCGGGCTTGCATTCCCTGAATCATGACCATAAACACATCCCTCAATGCCACTCCTGGGAGAGCACTGGGTACTGCTTTCTGTTGTTGCTACTGTTTGAAACGGGGTTTCCTACAGCCTAAACTGGGCCTGAACTCACTAGAGAACCAAGGATGGCCTTGAACTTCTGATCCTCCAGCCTCCACTTCCTGAGTGCTGGAGTTAGTTGCAGGCATGTGCCACTCTGCCCAGTCTATGCCAGGCTGGAAGTTGAACCCAGGGCTTCTTGGCTTCTTGTGTGCTAAGCAAGCACTATACCAACTGTGTGATATCTCCAGTTCTATCGCATACACACACACACACACACACACACACACACACACACACACACATAATATCTACAATAGTGGTTGCCTTGGCTTCCATCAACCCAGCGTGGTCAGGAGCAGAGGGGGACAGAAGCTCAGTGGGGACACTGGCTGGAAGCTCCTCCCTTACACTTTAGACAGTGACGTGACCTACTCCAGAGGGTGGCAGAAGGATAAGACATGGCTAGGTTCTGGATAATAAAATAAAGGGAAGGCTGGTAGATTTGCTCATTGGTGTGGGTGTGACCTGTGAGAGATTGATGGGAGACAAGGGTAACTCAGAATTCGAGGCCACTGTGTTAAGTGAAAGAAGCCAAACTCTGAAAGACAAAGCCAAGTATTGTGTGTTTCTCTCTTTCGTAAGAGAGCAGAAAGGGTAAGGGAAGGGAAAGCATTAAAGCTGCAAGAAGGGAAGTAGGTAAAGGAGGAAGAGAGGGAGGAAAAGGAAGGAGGAAGGAAAATCAAAGGTATAAAGGAAGAGAGAATAGTAGGGGACTCTTAGGAAATTTCCTGCTTTTATGTCTTTCTGCCTGAGGGGCCAAGAGGTGGCCAAAATCTCGCCCCTGTAGTCCTGGCACTCAGGAGGCTAAGGGAGCAGTTGGGAGAGTTCAAGGCTAGCCTGGTTTGTTTAAGAGAGCCCCAGCCATTAAGGAGAATGAAACCATGCCATTTACCTAAAAATAAGTAGAACTGTAGAGGGCTGTGTTACATGAAGTAAGGCAGACTCAGAAAGACAAGTTTTACTTTGGAATCTTAAGAAGAGACATGGAAGAAGTGGGAGAATCAGGCTGTGTGTACATGTGTGTGTGTGTGTGTGTGAGAGAGAGAGAGAGAGAGAGAGAGAGAGAGGTGGTGGATACTCAGTGGGGAGGAAATATGATCAAAGCATCCTGTGGACCTTAGGAAAAATCAAACGGAAGCAGAGGAGGTAGCAAGCACGAGGAAGCAAGCTTCATCTCTCAACCATGACACTGGGTTGTGACATATCTGTAATCCCAGCACCTGGGAGGCAGAGACGGCCAGATCCCTAGGGCTCCCGGCTGGCTAGCCTAGCACACTTAGTGAGCTTCAGGTCAGTGAGAGGCTGTCTCCAAGGAGATGGACAGCGTCCCCAAAGACGACAGATGAAGTTATCCTCAGGCCCCCTCACACCCATGCACATGGGTGAAAATCTGTCATTAAAATAGCCATGACGTGCTCTGAGGCACTGCAAGAGCATGGGGTGGAAATAATGGAAATGTTCATCAAATTGTCTCACGGCCTGGCATGTTGTCACAGAGAACCGTTATTGCCTGCCAACGCTTGTAATTTGGCAAGCCACAGATTTCACTGTACTGCGCAAGCGTGGGTTCTGAAATACTGTGCTGTGCAGGTTGGCACTTGCTGTTCAGGAAAAAAAAAATTATAGTCATGACCTGAAGTTTGCAGCAGAGAGATAACTGTTCTTAGTCTTGGCACTCCGAATTTGTCTAGTGAGGTTTTAAAAGCCTTGCTTCATTTACTGCTGAAGCGTGCTACTTCCCATTGCTGTGTATTTGCAACCATGTACAAGTGCCCATTGTGCTCATATATGTGTGTGCACACGCATGTGCAGGACAGAGGACAACTCCAGGTGGTGTTCCTTGGAAGCTTTCTTTGTGTGCTTTTTAAGAATATTTTAGTTTAGTTTTAGTTTTGGGGGTGTCGTATGTGTATGAGTGCAGGTCCCCACAGAGCCAGAGGCGTTAGAACCTGCCGGCATGATAGGCAATTCTCGCTGCCTGAGGTGGGTGCTGGGAACCAAACTCAGACCTTCTGTCAGAGCGGCATGTGCCCTCAGCCGCTGGTGAATCTCTCCAGCTGTGGTTCTTTGGAAGGGGCTTCTCACTGACCTGGGGCTGTCGGTCAGTCTAGGCTGGCTGGCCAGTGAGCCCTAGGGATCCGCCTGTAGTTGTAGGATCACAGGTGTGCACCACTGTGCCTGGCTTTTGTGTGGGTGCTGGGAATCAAACTTGGGGTCTCATGCTTGTGTGGGAGGTGCCTCTCCAACTACATCATCACCCCAGTCTTTGGAGTCCCTTTATGAAGCAGCCTCATGTTACAAGATTGGCACGGGGTTCCCCAGGTCCTCCACACATGGCATGTGGCCTGGAGCAGATGGTTGCATCAGGAAGGGAGGCGGTGGGCAGGGTAGTTAGGACAAGCGAGGCATGTAACCGTTTTGAGTTCAGCATGATACATTGTATCATGATACATGATACATGATACAAGCTTGCAGAACCATCACCGTTGTAGAGTTCCAAAACCTTCTCATCTCTTCAAACATAAGCTTGGAGCCCCAGAGAGGTCTCAAGAGTTAAGAGTGCTTGCTGCGTTTGCAGAGGACCCAAGTTCAGCTCCCATCAAGCGGCTCAGAGCCACCTGTAACTCCAGCTCTGCACGATCTAATGCTCCTGACATCGGAGGACACCAGTGCTCAAACATGCAGACAAACTGTGTGGGATGCTTGCACACAAACACACATACCATAAACCTCGATGGCCACTGGGCAGTAGTTCCCTCTTCTCCCATACTCCCTGGGGGACTCTTATTTTCTGCTGTTAAGACTTTGCTTGTCTAGATAGAACGTTATGTGGAACCATCCAGAATAGGTTCTGTGTGTCACTGATTTCACTTAGCGTGGTGTTTTCAAAGTTTGTATTTTCTTCAGGCTGTATACTGCTGCTCTGTCTGTTTGCCCATTTGCCATGTCCAGTCCTCTGAAGCACACAGCTGTGTTGTTTCCCCCTTCAGGCTATCAGGAGGAATGCTGTCCTAGACATTGATATGGCAAGTGTCCCTCAGCATCTCTGATGCCATGTTTTGAGGGCACATGCCTAGGAGGTGTGTTAGTCGGGGTTTTGTGGAGAAACAGATCCGAAAGAATGAGAATAAGGAATTTATTACATCAGATTATGCAGTGTGGCCAGGTTAGCAGCACAGCTGTCTCACATCTGAGAGGCTAAGCACCCAGTGGTTTCACAGTCCAGGAAGCACAGTGTCTCGACAGTTCCAGTCTGGCACTGAAGACCTGAAGGGTTCCTGGAGAGGCCTGGGAAAAGCTGCCTACTGCTGTCAGTGAAGAGCAGCAGCAACAGGTAATGAACTCCTCTGCCGCAGGCAAGGCCAATGGATCAAAAACAGCATCTTCTGCAGGCCCCCTTGTTATCTGGGCTGCTACCAAAGGCTCCTCCCACACTTGGCCTTCCCACGCCCGTTAAGAGAATTCTTCAGTTGAGGCTCCCCGCTCAGGTGATTTGAAATTGTGGCAAGTTGCCGTTTCAAACCAGCCACAACAGAGGGTATACACCAGGTTATATGTGAACTGTGTTTTGTGTCTTGTGTGTGTGTATGTGGTATGTGTGTTTGTGTGGATGTATATGTGTGTGTACGAGGCCTGAGGTAGATGTCCAGTGTCTTCCTCAATCACTCTCATTTTATTTTTGAGATAGAGTCCCTCCTTGAGCCTGAAGCTTCCCGGGTATCCGTCCACTCGTCTCTGCCTCCCAAGCAGAAGGCTAAGGGAACATTACAGAGGAGGGGACAGAAAGATGGTAAGATCCAGAGGATCAGGGAGTTAGCTGCCTCCTAGTAATGTCAGAAGCTACATCCATACAGTCTCACTGACCTGACTGTCTAAACATGAACTGAATAAGGACAACGTCAAGAGACACGCCAGACTGGACGTGATGCCTCAACCCTACGTCAAAACCTGCAGGCAACTGAGAAAACCTGGGAATGGGAGAGGTGATCTTCCCCAGGAAAGAGCACACCAGCTGGTTGTCCAGTGCGGTCAGCCCTGAAAACATACATACAAGTAGCATTAGATATATGGGCTCAACAGGTTATATTTAGTAATATATATGTAATAACAATTAGTAAAAAAGAGTCATGAATTTGAAGGAAAGCAGGGAGGAGTACATAGGGGTGGTTGGAGAGAGGAAAGGCAAGAGACATGTTGTAATTAAATTGTTATCTCAAATAGAAACAAAAAAACTGATGTTTTTGCTCAAAACGCACCTTGTGTGTGTGTGTGTGTGTGTGTGCATTCGTGACCCATGGCACACATGTAAAAGTCAGTGGACACCTGTAGGAGTTTGTTCTCTTTCTACCATTGGGTCCCAGGGATTGAACTTGAGTCGTCAGGCTTGGTAGCAGGCACCTTAACTGCATATGCTCTTTCAAAGGTCTCCGAAGATTAACCTCTCTCCTTAGGTCTTCTGTGGCCCCTTATACACATTCGTAAATGGCTTCTGATAGAACTCAGCTAGAGTTCTCAGGTGATGTGCCCAGCCAACCCTAGCGTCTCCTTGTCCAGCAGGTCGTTACGCCCAGGGCTAAGTGACTTGCAGTAGTGACGTCAGCGACTGGAGGTTTCCACCCACCAGGCAGGGAGGGCTTAACAAACCAGCCCCTACCCTTCTGCTTCCTCCTGAAGAAGTAATGCTCTGTGCCCGCTGCTGTCTCTCCTTCCAGGGATGCCGGACGGAACTCTGGACACCGTGTGCGCAGAGGAAACGGGCAGTGAGGAGGACCTCTATGGAGAGCTTCACCCGCCTGGCCACCACTACAGCCACCCCAGAGGAGGCGGAGAGCAACTGGCCATCAATGAGGTAGCGTCCGGGAGGCTCAGCCCGAGGAAGGAGGGCCAGTGTGCAGGCTCACGGGGAGCCAGACGTGCCGTGTGCTCAAAGCCTGTGGCGCAGCTGGAGTGCACGCAGGAGCCTCCATCCCGTCTCTGTTAGCCCATGGTGATGCGTTTATCCAGCACCACATGTTTAAGGCAGAACTTCTTGGAGGTAACAGAGAACCCAGAGGCAGGGGCGATGCCAGGCTTAGAAGAGGAGGCCAGGACTGCCCTGTTTCTCCAGTTCAGGTGACAAAGTCTACGTAGACTGTGCAGGAAGCGAAGGGGAACTGATAGGCGTGTTTCCCTCCCGCGGACACACGCTCGGAGTGTTGCTGTTGCTATGACGACCGTGTGCCACTTAGAGGTTTTGCTAGTTCCCGGCGAAGCAGACGAAATTAGTGAGAAACTTCATCTGGGCAGAACTGGTTCCCATTACAACGTCTCCTTTTAATCTTTAATTGACGCATATTGTGTCCATTTTACTTATTTACAGTGTGACATTTCAGTAAACGTGTGTAGGATGCAGTGGTCAGTTCCTACCTCAAACATTTATGACCTTTTTTTTTTTTAATATTGGAAACATTCTGAACCTCAGCCATATCGTACAGATGACCATGTGTGCGTGCGTGTGTGCAGGCTGTTGTTCTTCGGTCCCTGTCCACTTTGGTTTTTGTGACAGGCTTTCGCATAGGCCTGGAGGTACTCAAGTAGGCTAGGCTGGCTGGTCAGCTATCCGCAGAGATCCATTTGACTCTGCCTCCTCAGTGCTGGGATCACACACAAACCACCACACCTGGCTTGCTTGCTCTCTCTCTCTGTCTCTCTCTATCTCTAATTGCTTACTTATATTTTCCTTATTTACTGGTTTTTCGAGACAGGGTTTCTCTGCGTGGCCCTAGCCATCCTGGAACTCTTTCTGTAGACCAAGCTGGCCCCAAACTCAGAGATTCTCCTGCCTCTGATCTAGAGTGATGGGATTAAAAGTATATACTGCTGCCACCACCTGGCACCATGCCTGGCTTTTCACAGGGGTGCTGGAGATTCAAACTCAGGTCCTCATGTTTGCAAAGCAAGTACTATGGCCCACTGAGCTATCTCCCTTGGTCTTTTGAGCAATTCTTAATCAAATGCACCAGTGGTAACTCACTGTGCTACAGAATCCTAGAGACTCTTATTCCTCCTGACCAGCCAGCCACTCCCTCCCCCAGTAGCCAGCCATTAACTAGCATTTCTCAAGACAGAATTTGTGAGGCTTTAACTCTCTGTTAAACAGTCACACTTGGGAGAGGGTAAAAAGCAACAGCAGTGAGCTTGCCCCGATCCGTACATCTGTTTCTGCTTCATCAGAACAAAGATCTTTTCTCCTCTTTGCTCCCCCTTTGCTTTTTTTTTTTTTTTTTTTGATGAGGGGATTTAGAGATTTTGAAGTTAATGACGGATGGACTCATAACCCGAGAAGTGAGATGGAGAGCCACGGGGGTTGCATGTGGGGTTAAGAACATGAGCGTTCTCTGTCAGTGCAGTGTCTGGTGAGATCCCTAGAAGACTGCAGGTTTGTAGCTGAGAAGGGAGGAGGGCTGCGAGCAGTTGTTAATTGTGACTGAAATGTTCCCGCAAGAGATTCCTAGGCGAGGAGCTCTGCTCCTTTCTCATGTCCCCATTATCCTCCCCATCCTCCTTTCCTGCCTCTCTGAAAGCAGCCTTGAGTGTAGTACCTCTGTTTACACATAAAACTGAGTAGTGAGGTGCCTGGCAGATGGCCTCTTCTCAGAGGTCTAGAAAGTGATTGTTTTCTCTGTAACGCTTTTCCATTGCTGTGGCCTGACAGAAACATTTGAATGGGGGAAAGGGCTTATTCCAGCCCTGGAGTCAGAAGACAGGGCCCATAATGGTGTCGACAGCGTGGTGGCTGGAGGGGGCTCACCCATGGCAGCTTCTCTCAGAACACCAGCCAGAACCAGAGGGCCTAGGCTAGAAGCAGGGCCTCACTCATCTCTTGAAAGTCCACCCCCAATGAGCCACCTCTACGAACCATGTCTCTCATCCTGAGGGTTCCAAAGCCTCCCCCAACAGTCTCAGCAGCCGGAGGACACAATCCTGAGGGGAGCATTTCACATTCAAACCCCTTCACCTCTTTTCCTATTTTTGTTTTTGTTTTGTCATGCTGAAGGTTGAAGCCCAGACATTGCTCATGAGAGCTTGCTCTGTGCCACTAAGCTATACTCTGATAATGATTCAAAAGAGCCGTTCACCAACGCTTGATGCTGGGCTTGGGAGATGACCTTACAAACACAAGAACCCGAGTTTGCTACATGGAAACCACGTGGGAAAGCTGGGTCTAGTGGTATGAGCTTAAATCTCAGGGCTGGAGCAGCAGAGACAGCCAGATACCTGAGAGGCTCAGGGGCCAGCCAGCCTAGCCTACTTGGCAAGCTCCAGGCCAGTGAGAGGCTTCATCTCAAAAAAAAAAAAAAAAAAAGGTAGTCAGCTCTTAAGAGACCCCCTGGAGGTTGTCCTCTGACCTGCACACACACACACACACACACACACATACACACACACACACACGTGCTTTTTCACTAGCACCCACATGTGCACCTGCATATGTACATATTCACCCACACCAATAATGCCTGGTGCAAAATCTGTGAAACATGGAGAAAGACCATGCAAGGAAGTTACAATTTCTAATTAAAGAGGTAAGTCCGTGTTTCCATCTGGGGAGGGGGCCTTGAGCGATTGAACCCAGGGCCTTGGGAATGCTAAACTCATGTTATACCACAGTGCTATACTCCCAGCTCTCTATAACTGACCCTCATGAACTCTTTTGATGGAGCATCCTCATCTCTTTTGTAAACAGAATCCAGACATGATGGTCAGGCTTTGCTTTAGAGAACCAGGCTGTCTTTCTCCCCTTGGGCTCAGAGTCAGGGAAGGGAGCATGGAGTAGGCAACTGTGCATTGATTTCCTTCACTGTGGTACAAGGTGACCAGGAAACGGCATGGGGACAGACTGAGAACATGGTCATCACTTGCTGTATCCAGGTCCGAGCAGATCTCACTAATTAGGACCATAGTGAAAGATGCAGACAAGCCCAGGACTCTCAGGGGCCATTTTGGGCAGACTCCTTGACTGTCCTGACGTGCTGCATTGCTGGAGTTCTTGTGTTCTGTAGCTACCCACTTCCTTCCCAGGGTGAAATTTTGGACAGGTACATCTTGAGGTTTTGAGCCCTGCAGTTCTAGACCAGGACTGTAGGCACAGATGCTCTGGCTACAGGAACTCCAGAGCAAGGACTACCAGGAAATAGCGGGGAGGTGCTGAGCCAGGTGCTCAATGAGGCAGTGCAGGTTGTATGTGCGTCCAGAGGGTTCTATGAGCCGGCATAGGTGGTATCCGTGTGCAAAAGACCCTCAGTGGGCTGAGCAGGGAGGAGGCAGCCTCCTACTCATGTCCACTCTCCACAGCGCCTACCTAGGAGGAGCTGCCAGCACGCCTGCTTCCTGACATAGGACAAGCAAGAAGAGGGTCTCTAAAAGGGACAGGAGGAAGAACAGGACAGGCATGAAGGATGTCCCTGAGATTGTGGGGGCAGACCATCTGGCTGGTCAGCCCATCTCCCCAAGGGTCTGGAGATATGAGTGGCTTCTCTGGGTTCTGACCTGCGGAAGGCATTATGTAGACTCTTGCCAGAAGCTCAGAAAAGATGTGGGGGCAAGTGCTAGCCTTAGGCTGGCTCCTTTGCTTTCCTTCTGTTGCCTCATGCCACCCATTGGGCATTGTCTGCTGCCTGTAGGGGCTCAGCAGGATGCCTTGCTGGGAGTGCTCCTGAACTTTATCCTTGGAAATCACTGGAGCAGGAGGTGTCAGCGGAAAGTCCATCCTCAGTGGTATTTGGCCTGCCAAACAATCCCAGACTCACTTGCATTTTCACCACCAGAGGTGGGTGTCTTGCTCTAGATTGTGACCCTTTCGTGTTCATGCCCCCACTAGAAGATGGCCTTGTCAGTTTCTTTAAGAATTTTATGTGTTCGTGTCTGTGTGTGGGGTACACACACATGAAGGCAGGTGCCTGCAAAGGCCAAAAGAGGACATCGGATCCCCTGGAACTAGAGTTAGGGGTGGTTGGAAGGCACTGAAAGTGGATGCGAGGAACCCGACTTGGGTCCTCTGCTAGAACAGGAAGTTTTTTTTTTAAAGTACTGAGCCGTGTCTCCCGACCCAGATTTCTCAGGGTTTTAGCAGAGGGGACCCCAAACCCTCTAGCCAGGAGAGTGATAGGTGATGCTGGTCAGAGAGGCAGTCTGTATTGTGGGTGCCTGAGGAGTGACTGCTTTGCTTTCTCACACAGGCGTGTACATTGCTGGTACAGTGCAGGTTTGCATACGTGAACATATATGTCATACATGGCCTGTGCACTCCCTCTATGTCAGGCTGTGTGCCTGCCCTCACATACAGATGTGTGGGCTGAGTATGTGATGCCTGTCTTCCTGTGTGCCCCAGAAGCACAAGAAAGCAGTGTAGGGTCTCGTTCTTTCTGTATTTTTTGCACATACTTGTTCCCGCCCCTTGGGGCTGCCCAACTCCTGCAGGATGAATCAGCAAACGAAGCAGTTAATTGATCTCGGCTCCTGCAAGCATCTCTCTCTCCTACAGCATTGTCCCATTCAGAGCCTTCTTCAGATGCCCATGGCTTGGGCCTGGGCATGCCTGTGCTTCCTACCCTGTCCAGCTATGCTAGGATTGGCCGTCATGCCTGCTACCTGGCCTGTTCTTACTCGCAAACTGGTGAAAGCAGGAAGTGTTTGTCTGTGGCTCTTTAGATGTCCCTTCCTTCCAACGACCACCCAGCCTGGCCTCATTCACTATGCTTCAGCTCTACTCCTGTGTACAATGGCCCAGGGAGAGGTAGGTGGGAGATCTAAGGTATAAACTCCCTGCCATCTGTGCATGGCAGCCTGTACCCTCTGGGTCAGGCCATG